CATCGGGGGGGGAGGGGGGGGGCAGGTATTTCTACTATCACGTCTGGGAAAGTGTAATTATGTACGCCGTCCCAGTATGGGCGGCAAAAAGTACAAAGGGAGGCAACCACCGGGCAGCTCTGGTGTCCGCACAGAGGACTGCCCTGATACGCGTCGTCAGGGTGTATCGTACGGTGTCGGCGGACGCCGTCGGGGTGCTCGCGGGTGTCGAGCCGATGGATTTGCGCGTCCGGCTCCGCGACTCGCGGTACATGAAAAAGAGCGACCAAAAAAGCATGGACAGGGAGGCCGTCCTCGTCCAAGAGGAATGGCAGGGGCGTTAGGAAACAACGCCCAACGCTGCGTGGACGAGGCGGCTTATCCCAAACATCGAAACATGGACGAAGCGAGACAGGGGTATGGCCCTTACCTTCCATGTAACCCAGGCGTTGACTGGGCATGGGAGTTTCGGGTCATACCTCTGTCGTAGAAAGAAGAGGACTACTGACCGCTACCTCGCGTGCGGACAGGGAAATGACGATGCCGAGCACGCCATTTTTAAATGTGATGCGAGCGCGGCCGATAGAATCAAAATGGACAGCCTATACGAGGGGAATTTCACGCCCGAAAAATCGTTAGGGTAATGACTGAAAATAAAGCAAACTGGGCAGAGGTGACATCATACCTCTGCAAGATACAGCGGGCAAGAGAAGATACGGAGAGGAGAGTAGAGAGAGAGGGAAGGGCGAAATCCCTCTCTAAACCTACAAAAAAGAAAAGAAGAAATTAATGGAACGTCGGAGTTGCCTTTTTAGCTATAAAGTTTAAGTTTTAAAAATATTGACGAAGCCCTGCTCGGGAACGATCGCCCGAGCAGGGTGGAAATACCGGAGTAACGATGCGGGGGTGGAGTTGTCCCTGGAGCGGCCCACAACCCGATCGAGTCCTAAAAAATAAATTTTGGGTTGATGAATATGAATATGTAACGGTAGTGATTGGACGAGGCCTTACCTGATGTATAGGTATCCTTGAGTTTTCGTTAAATAGCGGCCAGGGTTGCCTAAAAGCCTCAGGGAGGGCTCCACATTACACCTGCGAACGGTTTCAAATTATTTATTTATTTATTAATGGTGTGACTGAGTGACAGCCAAGGAAAGAAGGGTGCTGTGCGAGTACCGTGATGTGGTTTCGCACAGTCAACAGGAAAAGAAAAAAGCAACAGGATTGTAGTACAAGAAAAAAGAGTATACTCCGGATGGGAAGCCATAAGGAGGGCCCACCCAGGAGTGTACATAAAAGAAAATTGGCTGCGTAAACTGTACGCAGACTATTTCAGTCTGTGTACAGCCACTGCGCAATGGAAAAAGTAAATGAATCCTGGGTGAGAAACCATAATGAGGACTCACCCAGGGTAATACCTGTAAAAAATGGAGGTTGATCGCGCGTGGTTCCACCCTGGTGTGTTCAGCAATCTGAACTGTCCTGAAAAATAGGAATAGCATGAGGGATGCGTAAACAGGGTGTAGCGACAGGACTAAACCTTCCCTGGTCGACGAGCTTCTCTCGCGAATATCACGTTGGTAAGGCCTAGATTGCCTTAAAAAGCAACAGGCCAAGGAAATACGCGCGAACAATGCGATAGCCGTCACCGATGTGGGTGGCTGGCCCGTGCTGGAGGCGCCCTGGGGGGCGTTGAAAGTTGTAACAAACACAACCCCAGAGGCGACAGAAAGCAGGAACTGCCAGAAACGGCGTTCTGAAACGGGAAAAATAATGAATAATGTAAAAATTGACACGTGAGGTTATGTTATCGCATGACATAAGAACGACTCACCGGGCGATGATCCGGGGATGCTGTTCGGCGTACTGTGGCGACTGTTAAAAAAGAAAAGAAAAAGGAATCAATATAGTAGTCAATGCGTGTGGATGATTGATTGTTAATTATTTATTATTAATTAGTTATCCACAACTTAGTTCCGTGTTATCAAATTGCTGGCAGAAGAAACTAGGAATAGCGACGGCGCATATGTGCGGGCGACTGGGGATTTCAAGATGGCCGAATTGCGGCGTGTTTTCACACGCAACGTCGACGGAAATAACTCGGAGCTCGTTCTAATGTGT